CAGCCTGCCCTGCAACGGGCCAGGCCTGCGGCATGGATGGGCGTGCTTAGTCTCCAGAGGACGTTTGTTTTTCCAAACTTGTCCCCTCTCCCAAGCCTGGCGGGCTTAGTCATCGCCAGCTAGGCCCGGCTGCGCTCAGCCCGGGGCAGCTCAGCCTCCTCCCCTAAAAGGGCGGCCCGGGCGCGGGGCCAGCGCCCAGCAGCTCCAGAAGAAAGTTTTGCAGCCGCAGGAGGGAGGAAGGAGCCGAGGAGGCCGGTCCCCACTGCCAGCTGGTGGCCGTCCCGCGTCCCCAGGGCGCCCCGTCCTGCAGCGCAGCCCTCCCGGGGGAACCGGCCTCCCCGTGCGGGTCTGAGGCTCCCGCCGGAGGCTCCCCGGGCCCGGAAGGAACTTCTGCCAGCTGTCGCGGCCGCGTTGTCCGCAGGAACCCCGCGCGGTCAGGCGGGGGAGGACGCAGCCGCTGCCGCTGGGATCGCCCAGAGTTCCGGCGCTTGCAGAGCCTCCCTTTGTCCTCGCGGGACCTCCCTCTCCCTCCTCTCCCTCCCTGTCGCTCGGTGGTGGCCCGCGCGCCCCAGCTGCTCGCCCGGGGTCCCCCGCAGCAGGGCGCGTCCCCACCGCGCAGAGCCCAGGGGCTGCGATCAGCAGCGAGGCGCAGGCCGCGGGCGCACGATGGTGGCGGGGCGGGCCCGGGCCCGAGACCCCTGGAGCTGGCGGCTCCCCGCGCTCTGGCTCCTGGTGCTCGGCGGTCCCGCGGGGCTGCTGCGCGCCCAGGAGCAGCCGTCCTGCAGGAGAGCCTTCGACCTCTACTTCGTCCTGGACAAGTGAGTGCCAAGGGCAGGTCCGGGGTGTCCCGGCCAGGGCGGCACGGGACCAGGGGGGCTGAGACGTGTGCGCGCGAGTCTGGGGGCGCAGAGGGCTGGAAACCCGCCCGGGGGGGGCCTGGGGCCCTCTGCTTCCAAGGGCGGGCTCTGACAATCGCCCCGGGCTCCCTGGAAAGGTGGGGTGTCCCCTGCTCGCCAGGAGTGGGGCGCTTGGGAGGTGGGAGCGCGGCCTCCTGGGGGTCGTTCTTCCTCCCAAGAACCGGGACAGGACCTTCTCTCTGCCCTCTGTCCCTTCCCACCTCCCTCAACTCCCAAAGTTTGCCTGGATGGGTCCTGATCAAAGCTTTCACTGGAGCGAGGAAAAGCCCGGAGTTGGGGTACCCGCTGCGGTTTGCTTTCCCCGCAAGGAAGGCTTTTGGGTCGTGCTCTGAACACTTAGCAGCCAGGCGCTCCCTGCAGATGCGCCACTGTCTCCACTCTGGGCAGCATCGAAGTTTCAGCTGCAGATAACAGTTACTTTGCTCCAAGAGGCCAGGTTCCTCCTCCCTCTTCGTGGTGTTGAAAAAGGAACCGGTTTAAAATGTTTACACGTCAGTGCTCTGTTTTGTTTCTCTGATCGGTTCAATATCATTTTTCAGGTCCGGCAGTGTGGCAAATAACTGGATCGAAATTTACAATTTTGTCCAGCAACTTGCAGAGAGATTTGTGAGGTATGTTTTCTGCTTTGCTTTTTCCTAGGCAGT